ATTAAAATTAATGCTCTCCCCCCCCCCCTTACTGGGAACAATACCATAAAAACTACTCTCTATCATGGTACAAAACTGGGTCCCAACACACAACCACCACTTTTATTACAACCCTCTCTATAGATGGAGGTGAGTTTGCCAGGAAATGAATTAATTTTTATTGTAGAACTGCCAGCTTTTTCTTTATCAGGAATCTGTTAACAGGATTTGGATAAATCTTGCAAAAATATAATGACTCCTGTCCAGTAAGGATCACAGAATTGAGATAATTTGGGATTTAAAGCACAGTAACTCAATTCTACTATTAATGAAGATTAAAATATAAACTGAAGTAGAGCAGTGTTTGTGAAAAATGCTCAACAGACATAATTTAAATGAAGTGGACATACACACTATCACTAACCTGGATATCTCGGGCTCGTTCATAGGACTGGTAAGCTATCTTTTCCTCCATGCTGGCCAATTCCTGTTTTAAGTTGAGGATCTCATTCTGATGAAGCTCAGTCAGGTCATTCAGCTGCTCTTCTAGCCGCTCACATCTAGAACAGAAAAAACATGTGGCTGTTTTCTTCTTTTAAAGACATCTACCTTGCCTTTCAGCACAATCTTCCTAGGTATCAAGACAGCTATAATAATTTTTAAAACAGGATCTAGCTAGTGAACATGACTTGCAGTGCTAGGAAATAATTTACACTGTTTTAGGCTGCATCAGACCCATCTCCGTGTAGGGCTTAAGTGTTCAAAGATAGTACATGGAGTGTTTCCATTGTCAAACAGTTAATTACAGTCCAGTGTATGCTATCTTCAATTTGGGTCTTATCAATTAGCTTTGTGTTATGCTTTCTAATTTTGGAGTATATACCAGAACAAACTGAACATTCCTAAACATCTGAATTTGAATTCGGCCCTTGCATCTGTTTTTTAGGCAAAATCGCAACCTTGAAACATACCAAGCAAAACATAATGAAGTGCCTTTAACAGACAATAAAAAGCATAAAAACCAACAAAACAGAGCATTCCCAGAGCACCAAACACAGCCCGCATGCGCCTATGAATAACAACTGTAGAGTCTCCCTGGGCTCCAGCCTCACATCACTCCAAGGCTTGTGAGAAAAGCCAGTTCTTTACAGCTTTTTGGCAGGCCGTGAGGGCCGGATCTCAGGGGGAAGGGTACTTCCAAGTAAGCATTGTTACAAGGGTGTTTTAAGTTCTGACCTTTTTCTGATCAGTTTTATAACCTAACTAGTAATCATGCTGCTTCCTCTTCCTAATCAATGTCAAATTGTCCTCTTGATTGTTCTGGAAAGTTTTTACAACTAGGATTGAAAATTAGATATTTGTTATATCCACAGATACTGCCAAGAGCCAAATTCATTGTTTGAAAATGTGGTTTCTTTAAGCACAATTGTAAATTCAGAAATGCCTTTAGAAAGGGAAAAATATTTGTTTTGAGCCAGGGCTGTGGAGTTGGAGTCATGGAGTCGGAGTCGTAAGCAATTCTTGAGTTAGAGTCGGTAAAAATGTACTGACTCCAACTCCTAATAAATTTAAATTGTATATAATATAAATAAATAAATAACAACACATGAGGTTAGGTAAAACTACATCCGGTACCCGGTTAATCAGTACTGGTGCCCCTCAGGGATGTGTGCTATCCCCGTTGCTTTTCTCCCTTTATACCAATGACTGCATTTCAAAAGACTCTTCTGTTAAAATCTTGAAATATGCGATGATACAACTGTCATTGGTCTAATTCGAAATGGAAATGAGTCAGCATAAAAACGGGAGGTTCAACAGCTGGCCTTGTGGTGTGGTTGTAATAACTTGGAATTGAACACACTTAAAACTGTGGAGATGATTGTGGACTTTAGGAAGAATCCTTCTA